TTGCCTACACATCGTGGCTGGTGCAGCTGTGCTTATTTCAAAATAATTGGCCTCCAGGATTTCTCACAACTGCCCTGGTGGCCACTCTGTCCATAATCATCAAAACTCTATAGCAGGGGTCAGCAACCTTTCAGAAGTGGCGTGCCAAGGTTTATTCATTTCTATTTATGGATCTGTGTGCCATTGATACATTTTAAAGTCAATAATATTCCTACTTACATTTTAGCAGCTTCACTAATAAATAAATTAAGATGCAGATCTTACCATTTAGTGTGATCCTTGGCCTGGCTTTCCCTTGCTGAGTTCTCCGATTTCGGGCTCGTAGTTTGATACTTTAAGCAGCACACAAACCTCTGTCTCCAGTGCAGCTCTGTTGATGATGATGGCAGAAGAACAGCAGCTTGAGCTGCCTCCACAGCAGCAGCCACCACCAGAGCAGCTCCCAACACTCCCATGTCACACCGCAGCTCCAGGTCCAGCAGCCACTCACAGCCTGCCCCAGTGACCACGCAGCCCTAACCTAGCTACAGCCCTTCCCCAGGCCTGAAGCTGGGGCCACGGTCATGTGATGATATCCCAGCTGTCCTGGGTGTGGCCCCAGGCGCCATAGGAGTCACTGCTGCGGCAACACAGTTGTGGGCCGGCCCTGGCCACCAGAGGAGCTGCTGCCATAGCCACACATTCTCAGGCTGGCCCCAAGAAAGCCACTGCCATGGCCACGCAGTCCTGGGCCAGTCCTGGAGGCTGGAGGAGCCGCTGCTGTGGCCACTTGTCCCTGGACATTGGAGGAGCCGCTGAGTAGCACAAGAGATCTCTTGCCCCTGCCCCACTCTGCCAGGGATGCATGGTGCCCATAGGGAACCCCCGGCCATTCTGAACAGCTGGTGTTTCCCTCTGGTGTCATATGCCCCTGGTGGGGCGAAGAGACTTCATGTGCTCTCCCACCCTCAGGCCCTGATTGGCCTGGGGAGCACATGAAGTCTCTCACCCCTACCCAGCTGGAGCATGTGATGCCTAGGTGAAACTTCCAGCCATTTTAAATAGTTGGTGGTTCCCGCTGGTGCCATGCACCCCTGGCTGGAGGGGGAGACTTTGCGCACTCTTTTGCCTCCTGATTGGCCTAAGGTCGGAGTCGTGGCAGGGTAGGCCACAGGCTGGATTAAATGGCATGGCAGGCTAGATCTTGCCCACTCCTCTCGTAAGCCTTGCTTCGCACAGTGCCCTGCTTCTGCATTAGGGGTTTACACTTGTGTAACTTAACCCATATAGTTAGGCTGCTGGGAATTTCCTTAAAAGAGACAGGGTCTTCTTTATTTAAAATTCTTCACAAAGACTCAGGGAAGACTGGCCAGTCTGAAAGTTTTGGCTGTTTTTGAATAGTGCAAGAAAAAATGCAAAGTGACTGAATAGACATGTGCTCAGATTTCCAAAAAAACACTTCTGTCTTGAGGCAAACATGAAAAATTTCAACTCAAACGATGAAATTTACAGACATATTGGCAGACAAACATGTATTGGCAGTGGAAAAGGTTCAGAAAAGGGCAACAAAAATGATTAGGGGGTTGGAATGGGTGCCATGGGAAGAGAGATTAAAAAGACTTGGACTTTTCAGCTTAGAAAAGAGGAGAATAAGTGGGGGATATGATAGAGGGCTATAAAATCATAACTGGTATGGCGAAGGTAAATAAGGAAGAGTTATTTACTTGTTCCCATAACATAAGAGCAAGGGCTCACCAAATGAAATTAACCAGGTAGCAGGTTTAAAACAAACAAAATGAAGCTTTTCTTCAAACTGTGCATAGTTAGCCTGCGGGACTCCTTGCTAAAGGATGTTGTGAAGATCAGGACTTAAACAGGTTTCCAGAAGGGACTTGATAAATTCATGGAGGTTAGATCCATCAATGGCTATTAGCCAGGATGGGTAGGAATGGTGTTCCTAGTCTCTGTTTGTCAGGGGTTGGGAATGGGTGACAGGAGAGGGATCACTTGATAATTACCTGTTCTGTTCACTTCCTCTGGGGCACCTGGCATTGGCCACTGTCTGTAGACAGGATACTGGACTGTCCCAGTATGGCTATTCTTATGTTCTGATTACATATCTCAGCAACTGAAAATCAAGCCATAAGAAAGTCCTGCCGTAACTTCAACATCCATATAGCAGAGGAGGACAGAGCCTCCTTATGGCAAGTCTGTGAACTCTGTAAGGGGAGATAGTCTTGTAAACTCATCTACTGGAACCAGTATTCTCGCTAACTTTTCCCTCTTGGGCAGATTTTTTTCCATTCCTGTGCACAATAAATTTTGTTATGTGCACCATGGCATGTGTGAATGGGCACCACCAGGGGAAACACATGCTGCCTGGTGTGGGCGCTCTGCTAGTCAGCTGGGCAACCCTGGAATCTCTCCTGAGCAGCTGCACAAGTGCACAGTTTACAGGGAACACAGCCTGAAATTTAAAAACTCTGGATTTTCCTTTTTATTCCTTGGGACAAAAACAAGGAAATTAAGAAGCAAAACGTACATACACTTAGTGATACAGCTGTACAATAAAATGTCACATGATAGGAAATGAGAAAGCTCAGGTTAAACATGTGACTGTTGCATTGCCCTGTGTATAATATGGTCTTTAATTATATGGTCACACGTGCCTCAAAGAATACAATAGCATAGACCTCTAAATCTTAAACACACACCCATGTAGCAGCTTGTAATATAGTTCTAATTTTTTATGAGAATTCTTTGTCATATACTAGCAAAAGACCCAGTCCTGCACCTGACTTTATGTGGACAGATCTCTGCCTCTGCCTGGAGTCCATTGCAATTTTAGAAAACGTGTCTGAGGCTTTGTGATGGGTGCAGATATCCACCCAGGCAGAATCCTATTGCCTTTGGAATGAATAGGATTTTTGCCATTGCCTTCCATGGGAGTATCCTAATATTCAGTGGGACATTAATGAGGCCACCAGCTGGGGTAAAGTGCAGGCAAAACCAGCACAAATACTGTCCTGAGCTTGGGATGAAACAGTGAACAAAGAAAGAACGGGTGCATAATTTCCTTCCCAACTCAGGCCTATTCCACGTCTTTTGAGCGTGCCTGTTATTTCGAAATATAACAGGCTTGCTATTCCAATGACCATGGAAACATTATTCCACAAGGAGTAAGGGACGTTTTGGAATAGCAGTTTATTTCAAAATAAGCACTGAGTAGACAGCGCCAAATTTCAAAATACGCCATTTTGAAATAAAATACACAATTTGTGTAGCTGAAATTGTGTATCTTATTTTGACCTACAGTGCAGTGTAGATGCACCCTCAAAGTGCTGGGAGGCAGCAGTAAAGACTGGTTTGTATCGAACCATGCTCTCCGGCCCTGCCAAATAGCAGGTGTGAGTGCAGGAGGAGCTACTGTGACATGACCCAGCAGTAATTATTTTTGGTTGGGCAGCTATGCTACATCCCAGCTAAGGAAACATAATTGACAGTGAATTAGTGGAACCACTGACATTAAATTAGCCACATTCTGAATATCCTGTTGAAAGATGTGGCACCCATGTGCTAACATCCATATCAATCTCCTTCATGAGATTCTTCAAGGCAGAAATGTGAAAGTTGGAGCTTGTTCAAGTTGTAGCTGATTCACTTAAAAGCTGATTTATCATTCTAGCTCAGATTAGCAGTACAACCATGTGCTTTTTCAGTACACAATCTCTGCAGCCAGCTGAGGCTCTGACGTTGCAAACACTTTCACGTGTGCTTAAATCAGGGATGTGAGCAATCTCAGTGGTTTTGGCAGGGACTGAATGGACAGTATCTATTGATTGTTACCCTCAAACATCCTGTTCTAACACTTCAATACAACTTTGATTTTAATCTAAGCTTGGATGATTACAACCGTCTGGTTACACTGTGTAATGGGACTAATGAAGGCATGCTACGGAGGAACCCACAAGGGAAGTCTAGTGAACAGCTGCCAACCATGGAAGACATCCAGAACTGCCTTTCACTTCGAAACTTTGATAATTCTCCTTTTTTCCGGAATTCTAATTTCAGCTTCAGGTTTGTGCTCCAACTCCTATCACTTGTTCTAATCAAGGCTAGCCTTTGATATGTACAGGAGAAAATGTACCCAGTGTTGCTTGGGTCCTTAACTCAAATAAGATTTGTTTTTCTTTGTTTAAATCATTGTGGTGGGGTGGGACTGCAGATGGGAGGTTCAGAATGCAGGCTGTCCCGGGTAGAGAGGACGACCCCAGCCCTCTTTCACCACAGCAATTTAGGGCCAGGTGAGATGCACCTGTCCATGGCCACTGCAATGGGCACAGCTGGAGGAGGGGTGCATGTTCTCCACCTGGGGGACATGCAGACAGACAGACAAACTCTGAAATATATAGTAGATAGCTGTTCCATTTTCTCCATTCCTATCCCCTGCTGGCCCAATGGGGTTATTGCTGTCCCAGTTCCCATTTCTGAGCCCTGGCCTCCCACCCCGCCCCGCCCCGTGGTCATTCTACAGTATAATTGTCCCTCTTACCTGACCCCTCCCTTTCCATTTTATGAGAAACAATAGAATTCCAGGAACATTCCATTATCCTGGCACAACCAAACCTTGACCTCGGTTTAAGTTAGGATAAGAGGAAGCTGCATACCAAATGTAGTGGTCCTAGCTCTTACCATTTAGGAGGAGTTCTTGAACAAATGAACTCACAGATGGATGGATGGACGGGCACACAGTCAGTCTGTCAGAGAGATGCACATTTCTAAAATGTATAGTAAGATTTGGGGGAGTGCTGGTCAATAGGTGGATACTTAAATCTTCTCTTATCCCATACACAGGAATTGTCTAGAAGGGTTTGAGAAAGCAGATGGAACTTTTGTCTCCAGGAGTTCTTGAACAAATGAACTCACAGATGGATGGATGGACGGGCACACAGTCAGTCTGTCAGAGAGATGCACATTTCTAAAATGTATAGTAAGATTTGGGGGAGTGCTGGTCAATAGGTGGATACTTAAATCTTCTCTTATCCCATACACAGGAATTGTCTAGAAGGGTTTGAGAAAGCAGATGGAACTTTTGTCTCC